TGAACTTCTGGATATATGCATTTCACGCTCGAGCGTGATTCACGCCGCTCGAGCGGAAGTGCATGTACTCAGAGTGCGCGCTCAAGCGTGAAGTTCCCCGCTCGAGCATGGATCAAATTTCTGGAATTCCCAGATTTGATCCACAAATAACAAAAAAATTAAATAGCCTTCAAACTCTATTTTTATAAAATAGAGTTTGAATTTATTTTTATAAAATATTTTAAAATTTAAAAAATTAAAATCGTAATATTTTGAAATTAAAATATTTAAAAATAATCAAAAAAATTTTAAAATCGTAACATATTTAAATATTAAAATATTTAAAATCTTAACAAAATTAAAATATTGATTTGAATTTAGTTTTGAAAAGAGTTTTAAATTGTGTTTGGTTATAAGTTTTGAAAAGTAATGATTATGTTTTGAATTGAGTTTTGAAAAATGGGTGTAGAATTATGATTTGAAAACTCCAAACAAACAATAAACTCAAATCAATGGGCATAATTATATTTTGAGAGGCTTACCAAACAGAATATTTTGTGAAGAAATTAAAAAATAAATAGTGTTTTAGAGATCTTTTACTATTTTTTTTTTATCATCCCTCCAAATATGGAGGATCAATCCATCCTCCTCCCAAATGAAAATGAATTTAAAGCATCTCAAATTGATACTTCAAATCTGAGGTGGCACTCCAATATTCATATTTTTGCATCTAACATCAATTTAGCATGGTGTACCAAAGTTGATGTGACATTTTGACATCATCCCATTATGTCAGATTTGACATGAACATCCTTTGATATATATATATATATTTCAATTATAGTATCAAAGATTTTATATTTTAAAAATGATATAATAATAAATTGGACATATTATATAGAAAATTTTAATATCAAATTGACATATGTAAATTTGTTACCTAAGCTTTTAAAAAAATTTGACATATTAAATTTTAAATGTTTGGATGAAAATGCTTTCAAAAGATGAATTGGCAATGAAAATCTTTCCATTATAAAAAATATAAGAAGGGTTGGAATGCTCTTGAAACCTTCTTCGCGGTTCAGGCCCACCGAACCGAACATGCGCCCCTCGTGTTTCGCTACCCACTGAAACTAGCACCAAACTATCACTAACGCGCACTTTTAGCGAACGTTTAGGGTTGGTCTAATTTTATACTAGTGTTTAAATTTTTTAATAATTTAAAGAATGAAAAAATTTATCTTAACAGCTTTGAACTGTTTAGTAAAGGGTACATTATCCTGATTTTTTTTTTCCAAATTTTGAAAAAATATAAATAATTTTATAATTTTAACATAATTTCAAAATCTTTTTTCAATAAAGATAAATAAATTAAAACTAATTAAATAATGTGCAAAGACAAAAATAAATAAATAAAGTAATATTGCTAACCTGGTGTGTTTGTTCAATAATAAGGCCAAGTTTGGCATGAGGCAAAAAAGACAAAAAGTTAAAAAGTCACTATTTTATGTAAGTCACATCATCTTATTTAAGTCACATCACCTCTCTAACACATCACTTCAAACTCAACCCAAATCCAACCCATATTTCATAAAAAGTCAAAAAGTGCACTTATTTAGTCTTCCCAAACCAGGCCTAAGTGACTATGTACTTATATAGTTCAACAAAATATAAATGATATAGAGAAATTATAAAATACTGTTGATCAAACATATGTGATAATTTACAATAACAACAATACTATACTATGTGCAATGGTGTAGTTAAAACACTTGTTTAGTAGTGTCGTTTAGTTACCATTGATGTCATTATACCATATTTTTAATTTTACAAAATTTATAGCAATAATTTTTCACATAGTATACTATAATATTATATATAATATCATAAAAGTAATTTAAACTTGTTAAATTACATGTACATTAAAATTTAGAAATATCAATATATTATTGTTTCAAGAAAATTAAAGAGAGTAAAATTATGCTACTTTCAATTAATTGAATAGAGAAAATATTTCTTCTTGTGAAAAAAAAAAAAATTATTGTAAACACCAAAAAATTCCATGTTTAGAAAGAAAGTTGCTCTCAGTTAAGTTTATGTTTTAAAAGAAATAAAAATAAAAACTCTATTCATAGTACAATGTAATTTTTTTAGTCAATTGGCAAAGGAAACTGGCTAAGTTGAATTGACCCCACTCACCTGTATCTAGTTACGCCCATAGTTTTGTCATCTTAACTAATTAATACCATCCTACTTTTGAGAACGAAGTCCACTTTTATGGACTAATCAACGTTGCTGTAACAATTATGACCTCCTTTTAAAAGCCGGTTTAGTAGGTTAGAGTTTCGAATCCCTCACTTAAGGTTTGAGTTTGAGTATTCATAATTTTTTGTTGGAGTTAAATATACTCTTTAGTGTTTGGAGTATAATAATTTAAACTTGTTAAATTACATGTACATTAAAATTTAGAAATATCAATATATTATTGTTTCAAGAAAATTAAAGAGAGTAAAATTATGCTACTTTCAATTAATTGAATAGAGAAAATATTTCTTCTTGTGAAAAAAAAAAAAATTATTGTAAACACCAAAAAATTCCATGTTTAGAAAGAAAGTTGCTCTCAGTTAAGTTTATGTTTTAAAAGAAATAAAAATAAAAACTCTATTCATAGTACAATGTAATTTTTTTAGTCAATTGGCAAAGGAAACTGGCTAAGTTGAATTGAACCCACTCACCTGTATCTAGTTACGCCCATAGTTTTGTCATCTTAACTAATTAATACCATCCTACTTTTGAGAACGAAGTCCACTTTTATGGACTAATCAACGTTGCTGTAACAATTATGACCTCTGTTTAAAAGGCCGTTTAGTAGGTAAGGGTTTCGAATTCCCCGCTCAATGTTTGAATTTAAGTATTCATAATATTTTGTTAGAGTTAAATATATTCTTTAGCGTTTGGAGCACGCGGGGGTTTAAGCTTTGGCTCCGATTTAAGTGCGGTGAGATTCTCTCTGCAAATATACTGTAGGTGCTAAGCGGCAATACTCCCTGACGGATATGTTGGAATAACCTATCTGCATATCCATTTTATGAATCTAAAAAATAAAAAATGATAGCTTTTAATTTTTAAGTTATTTTAAATTATCTTACTCTTTACATAATTTATTTTTTTAAAAATAAAATATATTAAAAAAATAAAAAAAAAATCAACTTTTAACTAATTTTTTAAAATACTGATATATAGGCTTGGTTTAGGAAGTAGGTTGACTTTTTGATTTTTTTTTTTGACTATTTTAGTTTAGGGCTAAAAAGCTTAGTTTGGAAAGAACTTTTGGTTTTTTTGACTTTTTTGTGAGAGAAATAATATAATGATTATGGGTTGGATGTGATGTTTTGTTTTATTGAGTTAAAAAACCTATTTTATTTTTGAATAAATTACATTAACACCCCCTGAGATTTATGTTTATTACAGTTTCCCCTCACCTTTTAGAAATTACATCATCCTCCATGAGGTTTAAAGTTTCATTACAAATTACCCTCTGAGATTTAAAATTGTGTAACAATTCCCCCTTACCGTAATGATCATCATATATAAAATTAAATTAACAGGGGAGTCAGTGTAATTTTTCAAATGTGAGGGAGAAACTGTAATAAACATAAACCTCAGGGGGTGTCAGTGTAATTTATCATATTTTATTTTTTATGGCTATTTAATCAAAAAAAACCTCCAAACCCACTTTCCAAACGGGCACATAATTTTAAGGAATATGTTTTTTTTCGTTCGAAAACAGATTAGGTAATATTGTTGAGGCTCGGTGAACCTAACTCCAGGTTTATTTTGATAATTTAAATCGTTAATGTGTAAAATGTGTTGAATACATTATTGCTGTAAAAAATTACGTTATTCGGATATCGATAATTACTTGATTAAATTGTATTTATATTTATAATTTATTTTTAAAATCATAATTACTGTTAAAATAAATATAATCTGATCAAGTGACTATTGATATCTAATCAATATAATTTTCTTGTAAGAATTATATATTCTATAAACTTTAGATATTTAACGATTTAAATTATCAAAATAAGTTACAAGTCGAATCTACTAAGAGCTAACAATATCATCCAGTCTATTTTTAGGTTGGTAGGGAGTTCTACCTAATTTTACGGTAATGTTGGGGACCCCAATGGGGTGACCCCCACCTCCACGTGGGAGGCTGCCAATAGCTGAAAGAAAAAAAAAAACAAAAAAAATTTGAACCAATTAGAAGGGATCCCAACACTCCACTAGCGGTCTCATCCATTTTTTTTAATTTTAAATGAAGCACTCGAGACGAATATTACGTGATCCCATCAGAAGCATCACTGAACACACATGCGTACGGTATCAAATCTTTGTTATCGTAAAAGAATTATTGGATCTCCAATTTATCGAAACGCAAAACCGCCTTCTTTTTCTGTTTTTTTTTTTGGCTCCGCAACGCAAAAAAAGATGTTTTGTGTATGGTGTTTTGATTTCGGGATAATTTATTAAAAAAAAGAAGTCATTATCGAGAAATTAATGAAGTGTCGCTATAAAAAAAATTCAAAATTAATTAGAATACAGTGCAAAATTTGAAAAAGAATCAATTGAAATCTGACTATTTTTTTCACACCCCAGGAATTCAAACCTGAGTAACTTATGAGGAGAAAAATGCATTCTCCACTGTGCCACCATCCCTAGTGTAAACCTAAAACCACCCTGAATGCGATAATTTGCTTTACAAACAAGAAGACCCGGTTCTTGCCAAACCAAAATCAAGCATATTCTCTCTCTTGGTCAAGCTTCAAATACTTCTCTCTCTCCTATCACACACAGATACACACATACACTTGCTTGCTCTCTCTCTCTCTCTCTCTGTGTGCAAATATCTGCTTTGTCATTTCCATTGCTGTTCAAAGTTTCAGAGTTGATCAGCCATTTTAATCAGCAAAAATGCATGCAAATCACTTGCTTCTCGAAGAGCCTATCAGGATGGC